ATCATTAGAATATTTTTAAATTCCTGCTGTTTTTGAATGCTTCTCTAACAGAGAAAAAAGAATAGTCACTGAGATTGAACATTAGCTATAGCAACAACATGAAGAAATATTTATTATTAATGTATTTCAAGTCTTTGCAGTGGATTTAGACTATAAACCCCAAGCAACTTTCTTCGAAGTACATCCTATAAATTTAATGAGACTTATTTCTGCCTGTGGAAAGGCACCAGGATTTGCAGTAAGCCTTCCTGTAAATTTAACTGGTCAGACACATTCAAGTACATTACTTGAATTTCAGTAATTTGATTACCGGAATAATCCTTGACTCAGTGATGATTTTCCTCAGTGGAACATGGGGACTGTGATATACCCTAATACTTTCTTCTCCTCTAAAACTTTTTCCTAAAATATATTCCTGGAGATTTTTGCCCAGATGGAACAGGAAATTGCTAACTACTGCTATAACCAATGAACAGCTCTATGGAGGGACACCTGACCCAATGCAGTCCATATAAAGGTCTATCCAGCCATAGAAGCTGAGAAGGTGGTTTGGGCAGCTTCCCTTACAGGGTTGTTGAATATTGGTGTATTATACACTGCTTTGAGCTCCTAGAGGAAAGGAAGGAAACAAATCTAATCTCACTGAAAACCATGGGTACATAATGATGCATGTATGCAATGCAGCCACACATGGAAAACTGCCAGCCTATTTCTAGTTCAAGAAATTCATGTTCAGGTAGAGCAACAGAAATGTCTCTATGATTACAACACTAATTGGTATTCTCTACTGAGATTACATTCTGTGCGAGAAATGGATGCTGAAGTATTCCTCACTCCCATTTTTAATAGGATTACTCCTCAGTGAATGATTGTGGATTGATAACTGAATTGTTAATCCAGAAAATGTGTGGGCATATACTTTGAAAGTGTAATTCTAGTCCCTAAGTTTACTCAGAATAAAATTAAACTGCAAGAAAAGTGGCTACTTCTTTTGTAAAAGTTTGCTGCGCAAATTTTCAAAACATATCTGATCTTTCTTAAAAATTATTTTATTAAACATAGAAAATCAACAACATATCTACTCTGTCTCTCAACACTGAAAAATGAACTTTATAAGGGTGAGAAAAGCAGGCAGTAAAGTTATAATTTGGACCCCAAAATAAATGCTTATCTCTTTGGGATGATTTTATCAATCTTCAATATTTTAGCACAACTTAGAATGTATGATACAATGTATCAATGTATCATGTAAATCCTGCTATGCATAACAAGATTAACCAACATTGTTATATGTGGCCTTTCCACAAGGCCAACCACTGAATCAATGTAAAATTCTTCATATGGAACTATTCCTAATTAATCTTCTTGAAAGCAACAAACTACTTATACTAGTAAAGTAAATGTTACACTCATCACATATAACAAGAAGCAACAAGAATGACTGTTACTTGGGGTGAAGTAATACTCAACAAAGCAAGATGTCTTATAACAACTCTTCTCAAACCAACATTTACGGACAATTAATAAAATAAGCATGGTATCATCAACCTTTCTTTGAAAAAATATTAATCAAGCCTCAATATTAATAACTTGAACTTAAAAATCCATCATTACTTTTCCCTACCAACTTATTATACAACAGCTGCATTTAGAATGGAAAGCAAATCTTGTTTTCATAATTAAAGCTTTAATCAGTATATTTTTTTACTGTAATTCAAATGCAGATCTACATGTGTGAAAATCTATTGGACTCACATTCACATTTCCAACAAAACTGCAACCCAGAAAAAGATTATTTGGATCCAGTTAACATTGGATTATGCTGTGCTGCTTTTTATTAGTAAAATGTTTTTAAATATTATCTATTGAGAAACAATTAAAACTCTGAGAACCACAATTGTCTTAAATATAAAGAACTAGAAGGGGAATATGTACATTTACATTAAACATAAATCTGTACTATCAGCTGACTTATCAATATCCTCAGCAGTTTTTCAAGTATCTTGAACTTAAGCCTTAAGAGAAATATTTCAGCATGCTTCATTCACTCCATGATGTAAGAAAATCCTGTTCAACAGTTGACTTCAAAGATCTATGTGCACTCCTGGCTATAACACTATGGAGTACAAGAAAAATTGGCACCATCTCCTTCTGTCCAACATGATAAAAAAAAAAAGGGTGTGTGTGTGTGTGAGTGTGTGTTACTGGCTCCTACAACTGAGTACAAACACAGAAAGTAGCATGGCAGGTCTATTCAAAGTACTGTAGTTTAATTACATATTGCTTTATAACATGAACAGTTTGTTTAAGTGGCAGTATGTTCCTACATATGTGGAAGAAACATAGACATATTTGCAAAGGCTGAACAGAAACAAATTACAAGGTAATTTCCATCTAATAGAATACATCTTTGCTTTGCTTTGTACAGTGCCCCAAATTATCAATTTGGGCAACTCATTATCCTTCTCCATGCTTAATCAAAGCTACAGTCCGAGAAGTAAGTTCCACAAAAGTCAGCTGGATTTATTTTTGAATGAATATTTATAGGGCCGCACTATAAATTACAAATGTAGTCAAAAGAAGTCACACAGATATCAGTACAAGCTTATGTTATTCTGGAAAACTTAACGTAAGATTCGTTTTTACATTAATAAATATAAGAAACCATCAAGAAAAACTTTTCCTTAAATTATGCTATGGCTCAAAGCAACATAGAGGTGCTTAAAAAAGGAATTTAGCACAGCAAGAATAAGTATTTCATTTAATGCTTTTTAAAAAAATACTTAACCTGCAGAAATACATCACTGCTAAAAATAAAATCATTCTCATGATTGTAATCTATACAGTAGTACAACCAATATTATTTGCACACTAGAACCAGATTTATTTATATTTGAAAGTAGCCCCTCCAAATCTCTTGAGCTCTTCTTATTACATGAACTGATAAAGACTTCAGCAAGAATGAGAAATAAAGAAGCACTTTTTGAATGACAATGGGCCAAAGTCTGCCCCAATTAAAATCAACAGGAGCTTATACAGACTAGAAAGCCTGCACACTCAGCCTTCCTCAGCCTAAGTAGGAAGTGTTTCACTAAAGAACGGCTGGATGCCAATGAAACAAACCTTTGGTACCCAGGGTCTTAGGCCTGCATTCATTTTCTCCTTCTCCCCATTGAAAGGGAAGTCTGTTTGTTTTTCTGATTCATTCAGCCCTTTTAGCTCTTTGCATTCAAGGAGTGGACTGTGAAAAGAAGAGCATCTTATCGGTGTGTTCCAGACCAGTAGGCCGACTAGCACCCGCATGCAAAACATACAGCCTTCCAGTAAAAGGTTCATCCTCTTTTCTCTCCCAGCAGCTTCACCTTCATCACTACCTTCCTATGGTATCCCTTACAGATCAATGAACAATGGAACTTTTAAAAAGATTTGCCTTTCTTTTCAGACTTCTAGACTCCCTCAAATACTTGTTTACATTCTATTCGCAAAAAGGTAGTGGAAGACTATGATACTACTGTACTGTATTATTTACATAGCCTAATTCTTTCTTTAGAAGGAAGACCTCCCACTAATTAAATCAACCCATCAATTAATTTAAAATCAGAACTTAATACTTAGCAAAGTACGCTACAAATCTGCCCATTGTTCAAAATGTTTTATGAAATTGTTAATATCAAGCCACATACAAAGTGAGAAGCATTTAAAGATTAAACCAATATTCCATGAAACTTTTAGCAACATCATTAATTACCTCTACATTTATTTGTAATTAAATTAAAATAAAGGAGTATTCTACTAAGTCTATAATGTTACGAGCACAATCCAAGTTCTTTAACTATGGTGTAATCTCACTGAAGCAATCAGGATCACCACTCTAATGATAAAAAGTCCAGTTCTAAAGACACTGATTAATTCTTTTCCAGTCAAATTTCTTGCTATTCACTTTTAACAAGGATAATTGTTCCTAAATGCATGTGCATGCCCAGAAGAGACAAACAGATTTATGAAGACTCTAAATTAAAATGGAATGAGAGAGATCTGTTTTATATGAATAACGTGCAGTTTGGAAGACAGCTAGACATCCTTTCTCCAACCACCCTCTTTTTTTAAGAACAGGATATTGACATAACCATTCTAGGAGCACAGACTACTAGAATGTCTCTGTTTGGGGCAGAATTAAATCAACATGTCAGACTGAGACTCATCATATTTCTTAGAATCCAATTTTCTTGTAGTCTGGAAAGGAAGGGGAAACAAATAAAGCAACAGTAATTTTGTGTAAGGCATTTTAACCATTCTTCAATACAGATAGCAAATGGATAAAAGGCACTATTGTACACAATTTCAATTACACGTTTCTGAGAATTACTTAAAGGGGTGTCTTATTACAAATTAATTTTAACTTAGAGAAACCCCCACACTGGCATGATATCCACATCCGCCTCATGCAACTCCATGGTATAATGCTGAGCCTAATTTTGTCTTTTTTTAAAAAAAAAAAAGAAAAATGGCTTTTTTTACTTGGGGTATGTCTCTCCCTGTGTACTGTTTCAACAAAAATGGACACTCCTGGCCTTAAACTTTCGTTTTCTAAGACGTTTGTCCGTAGACTCTAATTCCCTGAAAACAACTGGGAGGAGGGGGCCTTATTACTGATTGAGGGCTTCCCTATACTGAAACAACATCGCTTTCTGCAGGACTTGTACGTTCCCCAATCTGGAATCTCCTGCCTGAACACAATGAGGCGGCGTTATTTCTTTTTTAAGTGGGAATCCGCGTGACATAATCTGAGAGGAAAAAAAGGCAAGAGGGAAAGAGGAAAACGACAGCTAGGTTTGTCTCTAAACCCGGGGAAATAAAGAGCGCTCGGTTCACAAGATCCTCCAGAGCAAGCCCCAACTACACTTAAGTCCCCACCCCTTCTTCTTCCTCCGCGCCCCTCCCTACTTGTAAACCTGCCCCCCGCCCTGCCGAAACTGCAATCTGATTCCTTCTCTTTTTACCTGTTTCCTATAAGGAGTCCTGCTGCCGCCCGCAGAGTTGCTGCTGCTATTGGGGAAGATCATTGCCCAGCCTAAGCCCGAACTTCCCCTGCGGCCGGGAATCAACTTTGGAGGCAACTTGGCTGGGGCACGATTCAGGGAGGCGACCGCTGGAAAACGCCTCTCTCTCCCCGGCTGCTGGGACGGGTCTCTGCTCCTGCCGCTGGCTGGCTCGACGCCTCCGCCTGCTCTGCCTCCACCCCCCTCTCCCCGGGCTGAGTCTCTCATGCAACGCGCCCGTCGTCCTCCTTCCCTCTCCGGGGGTCACCGGCGGCAGCGAAGCCGCGCTGAGCCCACAGCTTCGGCCGGCCAGCCTGCCCTAAATGCCCCTTCATTGGTAGACCTAACACAGCCGCCGCTGCTGTCCGCCGCGGCGACTTCAGCAACAGCAGAATCGATCCTAACTACCAGCGGCCTCAACCACCGCCCAGAGAGAGAGGAAAAACATACAGAGTGCGCGCAACCGAACAGAGGAAGGGGGAGTCGGAACAACTAAATCGGAAGGCACCGCGCCGCTCCCACGCGGCGGCGGCTACTTGGCGTCTTGGGCACACGCCGCCGCGGGCTTGCTCCTCGGGACCGCGCGCGACGGCTCGAAACGCGCGCGCTTCCGCGGCCGCCGAGGACTTGGGCCGCTCCCGTCCCCCCTCCCCACCCCGTCGAATGGTTGCTTCTGCCTCTTGCATGCCGCTCATTCCTCGGGGTAGCCAGTCAGTCGGCGCGCTCTCCGATTCGCGGTGCGCGCCAAGGGTAGCAGTACCACGTTCCGCAGGCAGGGCCCGGGCGGGTCTCTCGGCCGGCCGGCTGGAGCCGGAACAGAAGC